ATGATTTTAGCAAATGGCTGCAATATAACAAAGAGTGAAAAATTGAAGGGGGTCTGAATACTTTCCGTACCCACTGTATATACAGGTGAATGGACAAATGGCTGTAGTGTCAAGGTATACAATATGTATCTTGGAGCACAGAATTCTAAATGACAGAAACAAAAGTATTCATCACTATGCAGTGTTTTATACTAAAAATGAAACAACTGCACATTACTGCACATATATATATATATATTTATTTCCTAAATGAAATAGAGTTGATTTTAATCTAAAAAAAGAGTCCAAAAGCAGAAGTGTCAGAGGAGTGGGGCACAGAGAGGAGACCCGGCTGGCATCTTTAGCTGAAGTAGACACTGATCACGAGCATTCATTATGACATCAGCACTGGCAGTTAGATTGTGAATATAATTAGTGTAAATTTTAAACAACAACATCAAGAATGATACTTATAATGATACCTATAACCATAACAACTCTAAGATAATCTGGCTGTTAAGCCTGAAGTCATACGTCTTTTCCAGGTCCAAACTCTCCTTCAGATCACAAAAGCAATCACAGTGTTAAAGGGGTCATATGATGCGATTTCAATTTTTCCTTTCTCTTTGAAGTGTTACAAGCTCTTGGTGCATAAAGAAGATCTGTAAAGTTGCAAAGACTAAAGTCTCAAATCCAAAGAGATATTCTTTATAAAAGTTGAGTCAGCCACGCCTACCTAAAACGGCTCGTTCTAACACGCCCCCACATGTCTACGTCACGATGTGGGAAGATTTGCATAACGCCGCCCAAATGGTCACGCAAAGAAAGAAGGCGTAACTTTTATTCTCGCTGTAGTATTGTTGTTGTTGCCGCCATGTCGTGAAGGCGCTGTGTGTTTCGTTGTGAAAGCGAAACTACTTTGTTTGGCCTTCCAAAAGAGGACGATATGGCTTCGTCATGCCTGGAGCTGATCTGTGCTGGTCGCTGAGGAAATACATGTGGATCACCAGATCGGCTTTCACCGTGGACAAAGCGTATTCCAGCCCGGAGTCGTCACATGTGGTTGCCGCAAGCCCTCCGGACGCTCCTTCGTCGAATCCGCCGGCCGTGCCGTTCTCAAGCGCTCCTTCGTCGAATCCGCCGGCCGCGCCGTTCTCAAGCCTGCCACCTCAGCTCACTCTAGCCCTCCAGCCGTTCCTCACTTTAGCCCCCGGCTTCTGCTCACTCTAGGCCGCCGCCGCTCACTCCAGGCTGCCGTGTGTGACGCTGTGTTTCGTTGTGAAAGCGAAACTACTTTGTTTGGCTTTCCAAAAATGGACACGACTTACACCAAATACACAAAATAATGTTCTTTTTAGCAACATCATATGACCCCTTTAAAGTGAGAGTTTACCCAAAAACGCAGGGGTCTTACCACGATCAAGGCATAGAAATGTAGTAAGGGCATCGTTAAAATGGTCCATCAGTGGTTCAACTGTAATTTTACAAAGCTACGAGAATACTTTTTGTGTGCAAAGAAAACTAAAATAATAATTTTATTCAACAATTCTTCTCCTCCGTGTCACCGTAGCACCATTTTGGAGAGTATCACGACGCATGCGCGTGCTTTGTTCTGAACGTAAACAACACATACGCGTGCATGTTCAACATCAGCAGCACCACGCACAGGCATTGTTTATGTGCGGGAAAAGCATGTGCATGCATCATGATACTCTCCAAAATGGTGCTAAGTGACACAGAGGAGAAGAATTGTTGAAAAAAGTCATTATTTTTGTTTGTTTTTTTTTGCGCACAAAAAGTATTCTCGTAGCTTCGTAAAATTACAGTTGAACCACTGATGGACCATTTTAACGATGCCCTTACTACATTTCTGTGCCTTGATCGTGGTAGGACCCTTGCTGTCTATGGAGGGTCGGAAAGCTCTCGGTTTCATCAAAAATATCTTAATTTGTGTTCCGAAGATGAATGGAGGATCTACGGGTTTGAAAACGATATGAGGGCGAGTAATTAATGACAATTTTTGGGTGAACTAACCCTTTAATATACAAAACACATGGTGTGCTGTACAGTACTACCGAAAAATCATGATCTTGACCATTATCTTCAGAGCGAAATCTCACTTTGTGTGACAGTGATTGATCTTTTCTGAATTGTTAAAATATTGATGTCTTTGGCACTGTAACCAGAGCCTGTTAAGGTTAAGGTGTGCGGTCAATGGATTGTGCTCATAAACGGCTTTTGAGATGGTATTCTCACTTGAAACCGAGTTGAAGCTTTGACCCAGAAACATTACTATCGGTCAATACATCACGACAACGATGGTAACAACACAAAGGAGCAATACAATATTGTTCTGCTATCGGGATCACTTTCAGAACTGAAAGGTAAAAACAGCCATCTGTCTGATTTTTACATTTTACATTCAAAATATCTTTTTGGTTGCATTTGTTTGCTGAAAGGAGCGTACATTTGCTAAAAGTCTCAGAATTCTTTGCTCCAAAGCTCCAGAGAGATCTTACATTTACTGTTGAACATTCACATGGATATGCACTCAAATCTGTCAATAACTCTTTCAGGTAACCTTGGCAGCCACAAACGGCTCAACCGCAGAGTACACGCTCATTGAGGAAGAACCTTGGAAAAACGATTATTCATGCACATAGAACAAATGGGTTTTGTAGTTTATTTGTATGGTTTTTATTCTTTTCTAACATGTTTAACAATATTATATTGTCTCATGTAACAAGAATGTGAGGCCAAAAGCTCACACATGCAGCTGACATAATGTTATTGAGGCAGTTACATAAATTATTTGCGATGCTAATAAACATATATATCAATTTACAAACGTACATATTTTGAAAAAGGGTGAAAAAGGTGAATTGTTCAGAGGGAGAACAGACAGATAGCAAAGCTTCTTGCAGAGCCATTGCCCACTGCTCTTTATATGATGGAAACCTGCTCGTCTGCCTCTAGTACCTTTGGCTTCATGCTGAACTACCTTGCACGACACCGTAGCACCTCTCGGTCCGAACAAATCTTACAGCCGCTTCTCAAAAGGCTAATATGGTGTTGCTAGGATACAAAAGTAGGGACGGAGGCGACCGCACACAGATGGAAGGAAAAGCACAAGCCGCGTTTATTTGGAGAGCCTCCTCCCCTGGAGCTGCTTTTATCACATCGCTCACAGGAGTGGGGGTTTTTCTGTCAAGGAAACGGATAGTAGGATGTTTCTCATATGTATGTTGGTGAATCGGTGGCACAATAGCACAAAAACCATTCAGGCCATTATATTTACCATTTCATGTCTTACAAGAGCCCTTTGCGTCATCCAGATGTACTGAAATATGCAATGCATGCCTTACGTTTAGTTCACGATAAAGCACAAATTGTCTATTTATGTTGTACAACCAAAACATACAGTGAACATACAGCTGATGGCTTCAGTGTTAAAAATCATCAATCTTTGAGATAACAGAAGCATCTTTTCAAATAGCATGCCTATTTTTATGATTTGGTGTGGTGTGTGCTAAACCTGGACTGGCATTATTAACGACTCCATTCTGATTATTAATATGTCCAGTATGCTGAGAGCGCACAACCCATCTAAAGTATATCACTGCCTTTGTCCAAATACAGTATATATTAAATTTGTATTCTACAGTTGCTCTAAAGGTTTTTCCTTCCACTGGTGAGATATAGAGATATACTCTATAAAATATATTCTCATTTTTTTTCCCCAGAAAAAATGTTGTCAGGGAAAACAAAAACATTGCTAATGCTAAGGCCCAGTTAGCCTGCTGGACTGTTTACTGTTTACCTGTTTTTATAATCCAAGTAGATTTAAATACCTAATGGCTTCATTTCTTTCACTGCAGACATCTTTTTTTTTTCTTTTCTTTTTTCAACATCTATTTTAAATGAGCTGAAGTTCTTACCTCAGAGAGACATCGCCAAGGCTATTGTAACAATTTTTAATCAGTTTTTGAGCTTTGGAAAATCTCATCTAAATTAACTACGAAGCCAAGTAGTATTACAATGGATGAGTTAAATCGTCATAAAGAGGATGATTTTATAACTGAGCTGAGCCAAAACGCTACCTCTGGATGTACTATCCTCGTATTCATCTCTGACAGCATCTATCCCTCATATTGCAAACGACTGTTTCTTAGCCCCGTAATGCTGCAAAACACACATAGGCCCAACTTTCCATCACTTCCTGTCAGACTGACCAATCAACATGCACATTCCACATACCTCACTATGCCAATCAGAGATTCAGAAATCCAGATGAACACACTTCTTCCCTGTGTGTGATCTTTGATCACAAGTTTCTAAAAATATAGTTTTTTTTTTTATTGTGTATTTGGATTCTTTTAAACACTACCCCGTGTCTGACAAAGCTAAACAAACATACCAATAGAACTCTACCCCTAGTATGTCTAATTAATTTAAGACATCTTGCTATGATGCTTTGCGTACTAAACAGCTCTTTGATGTTCCAGTGTTCAAACCCTTGCCAAGAGAATAAATGCCATATGAGCACAAGTTCATGTTGCCACATTGTATAGTGTGTGGAATCATAATGTGAATTTTAGATGTGAGTGTTGCCCATCAAAAGGCAGACGTTTAAGACTTCTGAGATTGTTTGGTCATTGAGCGTTGAGCCACTCTTGCATTTTATCTATCTGTTAGATGCGTGGACATTTAGTGTTTTTGCACCAGTTTCTTAAAAAGCATGAGTTTTAAAGTGCCTCCTTGCACTTTGTGTATATATTGAAGGCAGGGGCGTCGCTAGTGGGGGAAGAGCGGGCCTGAGCACAGAGCCCTGAGCTATTGTGTGGCCCCTCAGGGTCCTCTCCCCCCAATCAACCCTCCACTGAGGGGACCACAGTCCACGAGTCCTGGCGAGGGATATTGACCCAATGAAATGTGCTGTACAGCGGGCCCAGAAAACCTAGCGAAGCCACTGATTGTAGGTTAGTTGAGATAGTGTTTAATTGATGTGACAGTTTTAATGAAGTGTTTTTGTAATCCTATAGAAACTATAGCCTCTCTGAGCTGCATAAGATACAATTCTATAGTGAAATAGAAAGGTAGTACTTTGCTTCAGTTTAATTCAGACTAGCTCTTTCAGTAATTTCATATCAATTATTCTATCTGATCTATGTTTGGAATGTTTTTCCCTACATACATTTATGTGTCCCTAAATTTCTATATAATCTAACATCAGACTCAAAAAAGAATATATTTGTATATTATATATATAGCATCTCCAAATATTGAAGCTATATTTTTGAAGATGTTATACAATAAACATGTTGTCTTAATTTGATCATGAGAACATGTAAGAACGTGATGTCTTATATATGCTTTTGTGTTATATTTACATCAAAAATATGTAACATCCTAAAGTTATGATAAGATATGCTGAATTTGAATATACTTGATGATATAACCACACTGTATTAAGTCTGTGTTGAGCCACATCCACAGTCTCTGTAAAACATTTCTCAGTTTCTTGCTGTCTGTCTTGCACTTGACTTCCCAATGTTTCTTTTCAGTGTTTCTGATGTATTTTATACATGCACACAGACACACAAAAATGTACAGGCAATTGTGATTATTTTTCTAGAATAACCCAGGTTTATTATTCTGACTTAATTGAGTACATCTGGAACCATCATTAGTAGATGGTTTGCATTTCTTACATTGGTCTTATACATAAACCCATATGTTCTTTTCTCTCACCCTTTTTGTGATGTGATTATTTTATGTAAAGGGAGAAGAAACTATAGTCAAAAGGAAAGTGGTAAAATAAATGATTTCCTGTTTCTTAGCTGTGAAATAAAAGTGAATTCATGCATATCCATATGTGTTGTACCATTGGTGTACATACAGTTATTATAACTAATAAATGTTGATTCATAACTAATTAAAGTCTTTTTTATTGACGTGATAGAGTGTTTAATACAGGCAAATGAGGATCTAGTGGGGACGGGGGTTTGGAACTAAAATAGTAGAGTGTGAAAGCACTTAAAGTGAATCTATGCCAGTGAATAATATGAATAAGCACGTGTTCGCACCATAGGAAATAAAGAGCAGTGGACCGAGAACAGAACTCTGAGGGACACATCGAGAAACCAAAGCTATAGGGAGAGAGTTTTCAGGCTGTTCCTGAAGCTGTGGGAGTGTTAAATGGCATCTGTTATGGAAATTCACCTTAAGTTCAATTTCAAGTTCGGTTTATTTCTAAATCACATTTAATCACGGCCACAGGCCAACAAAAGTGCTGAATAATTACAAAACACAGATTACAAGATTACAATAATTACAAGTACACAGAAATAAAGAAAAAATCAACAACCAATTAGAGACAATAAAAACGGGATAAAAATTACATGTTAAAAGCCGAGACAAACAAATGAGTTTTGAGACTGGATTAAAACTCAGATAAGTGGAAGCCATTTTAATTTGAGTTGGGAGATTATTCCACAATGTGGGGCCAGCCACTTCAAAGGCTCTATTACCCCTTGTCTTGAAATTCACCTTAACAGTACAGAACAATCAAGCAGTTTTAGGACCTGCTGTATCAAACATGACAGCACTCTAAAACAAATCTATAAAAATAGGGCACAATATACTGTATAATTTGATATAATATAATATACTGTATTTATTTTTTACAGGTGTTTTACCAGTATTTTGAATTTTACACGTCATTGCATTGTGTTTTAGAGTTAACAGAAATGTCCACAAAATTAATAGATAATGGTTACACTTTACTTGAAGGGGTGTGCATAAGACTGACACGACACCTTCATAATCATGACATGACACCTTCATAATTATGACATGACACCTACATAATCATGACATGACACGTCATGAATATGAAGGTTTTTTATGCATGTTAATGTCATGTGTAATGAGCTGCCAGTACTTTTTCTGTAATTTTTTTACGGATTTATTTTTTTACAGTGAGGAGCCAGTCAGTGCATGTCGCTAACAAGTCTGCATGTTCTGTGTGTCTCTGTGTGAATCAATGACGTGGTTTCGTCTGCTACACAATCTCAAAGGCACGTTAACGCTCACCATCTCGATGTACAGTATATGGATAGTTCACATGAACTTCATCTCCAGAGCTGCTCTGAGAGTCACTTCAGCAGCTTTACACCTTTTCATTTGAGAAAAACTACCATCAAATAAACACTGAAACACAAAGATCTTCACTACAAACCACCAGAATAAAATTTGGGTTTAAAAAAAAAATGCATGGATAAAATAGATTTCATGGGACCCTAAATTAAAAGGTAGGTTACTCTGTAAAGTTTCATTGTGAACAGACAATCTTACATTCATTCTTGAGGCCTGACAAACGTGGAAAGCATTTCCTTCCCCATTAATGGTAAACAAATACTGTGAAAAATGTTGACATTTTATGATATGACTGAATATCTATAATGCTATTATGATATAATGATTTTTTGGTAATGATTTGGGCCAAGTTGCCCAGCCCTGTTTAGAACATAGTGTGTCTGTTAATGTCTCCTTTCACAGAGGCTGGAAACTCAGAACAGGGAAGCTGTTAAATGTCCCAGCTATCCTTACAGGATGGAGACTCAAAACAGGTTTGTATCTGTTGCTGCTTCATACTTCTAAATGTTATGTCCTCCACTGCAAGGAGACTTTTTGATAGTTTGTTTTTCAATTTGAAATGAAATAAGCAGAAATGAGAAAACAGCGCCTTTATTTGATTTTTTTTTTCTTTTTGTTCAAAGGTAGAAAACGGAAAAACAACTTCAAAATAAATTTTCCACATGTGGGCAGTCATGAAACAGCACTTTGCACAGATTGGTCAACCAAAAATTCTATTAAAAAATGCAAAACGAAAAAATGAAATCTCACTTTTGTCATTGTTGTTGTTTTAATGGTTTTTTTTGGGTTTTTTTCAGCGAATAAAGGAATTGTTTTCTTGTTTCCACTTATTTCATTTCAAATTGAAAACAAACGATCAAAATATACACGGACTGTTCTTTTATTGTTGTTTTGTCTGTTATTGCCTCCTACCACAGGCCTGGTACAGTGGTCTTCTTGCTCTCTAAGGTGTTTAGCAGCCAGATTGTGCTGGCCATTTGTTTATGATAGTCCACCAAGATCGAATCAAAATACCTTTCTCTTGCAGTCAGAGAGAGGCTACACCATTAAACCGTGGTCTGGAATTCACTAGAATATGATGTTCACTACAAATAAGGGAGATATCTAAAATGTCCAGAAGTGCTAGGTCCAAGTCGAGTCCAAGTCCTGAACCAATAATTGTATGTTGTTATCTTTAATGTTACATAACTTGGGCTCAGCTTGAAAACCCCTGCTAGAAGGGATTTGGACCGTCAAATTGATATGTGGTGTTGAGAATGTGTAGTTAATGAAATGTGACATAATGAATATAAGTGTATGTTAACATGTTGAATGAGGGTAAAATGCTTGTGATGTGGTATAATGTCAATTTAAATTGAATGTTCTTCTTGGGTGATGGACAGACTCTGGTGAGTCAATCAGAAAGAGGGCGGAGGCGGTGCATGCTGAGACTGTGAGAGGAGAGGATGTGCTGCTGTTCACTGAGCAACAAAAGATCTTACACAGGATAAACTGATGTTTAATGGGGTGAAAACCAGCTAGAGGCTAAAGCGAACATGACACAGCATGACAGGCCACTTGTTTGCTTCTTTTGGTCTTTAGATAGACGCTTCTTTGGTCTTCCAGCATCAATATTTGATTGCTATTTTACAATTTAAAAAAGGCACGACCAAGCCCCAGAACTGACAATGGACTGTAATAAGTTCACTGAAAAGGCAAGTTGAAGAACCCAAGTGCAGCATTTATTTAGTTCCAAAAGTGAGCAGGTACAAAAGACAAAATTGAATGAACTGAAGAAAATTCAATTTCCTCCATTGATATCCCAGAATCTGACCAATGAGAATAAAGTGTGTCATCATCAAGGCTTTCGCAAGCCTCCCTAATAGGCTTGTTCGACTTCAAGTGGCGCCGCAAAAATCGGCAGCCACTTGACAAAAGCAATGCATTCTGGTTAGAACATTTGTCCGACTTTGATCGGCGCTGCAGCTGCCTTATGATCACATGTGCCATCAAAGTACCGCGAGAGCAAAACGAGACTAGCCGCCGAGGTCAGGCGCTGCAGTTGCTCAAAATCGGCTGCGAAAGCCTTGATGTCGACACACTTTATTCTCATTGGTTAGATTCTGTGATGACAAGCACGACGTGTGTTGCGTGTTTATACTAACAATTCAATTCCAATAATGCTCACAAATCTGTGTTTTTATAACAATAAAAGCTTTTTTAGTGTAGTCGCACTGTTATCTTGAGTCGTTTTTATCAAAAACACTGGTAAAAGCATATATACCCACACTTCATCCGTATTTAGTAGCCTATATATTTATATGCTGAACTTTATTCTTGAACAGATGACGCTGTATTAAGCAGTATATAAAAAGTGTTTCTGTTGCTCATAAAAACGTTTCTGTGTATTTGACAAATATTGCATTTAATCCACTTCATCTATGATAGAGTATGCAAACACCACGAGAGCGTCACTAACGGGAGCAGAAAGTGTCTGACTTGACGTCTCTTCTTTTAATTCCGCCCCGACTTCAAGCGGTTACTCTCACCAGCCGGTGGCAGGCTAGTGTAGTTCATCTCGAACAAGCCTATTCTCTGCCAATAGCAGGATCACATGAGGGCAAGGGAACCACATGACTAGACAGGAACTATGACTATGACAAAATGAGAGACATGAAAACAATGAGCATGAAACAAAACCCAAAAATGAACATACAAAAAAACTCCATGGAAAATCCTTAAATGAATGCTATTCAGAAAAAATATATATACTAGCCTATATAAAAATAGTGCCATTCATTACAAACAACATTTATGTTAAATGCCGAGCCTAAACTATTTTATTTTAATCGAAACTGAAACTGCACCATGTTGGGCTTGTGCATCTCTCATTCAGTCCAAAGTTTCCATATTTGCAATGTAACATTTGGATGCTAAACTATTTATGTAGAGAAGGCTTTGTACTTCAGTCAAGAAGAACTGATGATGGCACAGTTTGATTTTCAGCTGGCCAGTCAGCAGAAAGGGGGGGTTAATTCTCGTCTAAATGTAGAAATTGAATATTCAAGTTGTTTATTCATTATTCCACCCCTGAACGAAAAACAAAAAATCTAAATAAATGATTGTTTTTTTTTATGAAAAGTTAAAAAATTAAAAAAAGGAACCGTTTTCTCATTTTATCTTCTTTCAATATTAAATCAAATAATGAACGAATTATACACGGATTGTATTTGAATCTGTGTATCATTCGATCATTCGTTTTTTTATTTAATATTGAAAGTAGAAAAATGAGAAAACGGCTCCTTTTTCGTTTTTTTCCAAAAAACGAAAAACGAGAATTGAGCTTAAATTTTCGTTTTTCGTTCATGGGTGGAAAAATTAATAAACAGCTTGAATATTCGATTTCTACATGTGGGCGGGAATTAAACGCCCCTTTCTGCTGATTGGTCAGCCAAAGATTAAACCGTGCCGTCATCAGTTCTTCCGCAGTATCACGCAGCAGAATAATAGTCCTCCACTGCTGCAGTTGTATGGAATCTTAACGCATTTATTGCAACTACATTTAATCTTTTTTCATCAAACAAACAGACTTATGAATAGCTCAACACAACTCATATCTGGGCAGAGTCTAGACAGGGCTTTCTTCTGTGTAGATATCATTTCTATTCTTTGAATCAGCTGGGCATGGCAGGGTATGATATGACAGCTGTCATAGCCTACCCTGCTCACCCAGTAAGTCTGTTTGTTTGTTTAATTAAGAAATTAATTAATTAATTTGTTTCAAAATAAATATTTTAA